AGAAAGCAGAAAAAGCGTTTAAAATAAAATTTAATTTCATACAAAAAAACTAGAAAGATTTACTGTAGAGTGTTGGATTTTCTAAATTATTTCTGAGTAACCGGCGACTATCGCTTTAAAATATCACCAACTGCTACTATCAAATCTAATGTTTAAATCTGCGAAGTATGTTATCTGCCGAATATATTTAAATCTGCATCTGCAAGGCTTACACCCAAGACCCTTATACATAGTTAACTTTTGTAAATAAAACGTTCTCCGGCGAAACCAAAGCCTCCGTTATCTATTATTATATATTATTATTATCGTTACTTGAGAAAGAGTGTCCAACACTATAAGCTATTATTGTTACCCATTATTATAAATCTATATTATTGTTACACTAAAATTATCGACATTTTAAAACTGTAAGTAAATTATCTAATTTCTATTTATTTTAGCCTATTTAGAGGCAGCCAACAATATATAACTAGCGTTCATGATCAACCATTACACACTTGGAACTCGAATATGTCTAGACGGTTTTACACGAATTGAGCCAGTTTTCTACGAAAATATTCCACTATTTTTACTAACGTAGTAAAGGTAAGATATCCTAGCAGGCAGTAAAGGATTTGTCAACTCTTCATTCGGTGTTCATGCTACCTATTTGAGAAGACATCCTGTGGCACCGTCTCCGACGCGCACTTGCTCACTGATGCTGCTGTTAGTTATAGTCTGCGGCTTACAGCATCTGGTATACGCTGTAGGCCATTACCACCGTACAACATCAACGACGATGGTGTGTGTGTTGTCCTTTTTGTATCCTGGCAACGCGTCACCTCAACTCTCTTTTCTTCCGCTTCTATACGCAATCGTTCCCGCTAGCCTTCAATACTCGGAAGAGGTCTAATCATATGGCTGTCCCCGACGGTGCTTCCCCTACTCCGATTGAACCTTTCTCCTCTGATACCAGTCGTCCAGCAGACATTGGCAACGCTGACAACAGAGAACAGCCGCAATCCACGGTCGCCCTCGAAGCCCCTAACACTGCGCCTGCGCTAGGTCAAAGCATACAGAATTTATCTCGAACGTGCAGGCGGGCCCTCACCGTTCACGAGTAAACCCGGCGTGCAGGCTCTGCCCCTTTAGCCGTGGGCGCGTATGAACATTATACGGAGCACCGTGACTAACCCGGAAGTGAACTCAAGGGTGCTACAAAACACACGAAGTCACATTGTGCCTCATATTTATTACTGTCTTGATGCTACTTCATTCTAGGCATCAAAGCAGTCTATGCCTTTCTATTGGTGGGCACTGTGGTGTATGTGGATGAAAGATTCAGCGGCGACAGAGGAGGCTAACCAACCTGTTTCTGGTGACTGTGCTTTTGACGCGAAGTGTTATCGGTAGAATTCAAAAATTAACTGCTCACGACCAATGAATGCTATTGTAATTGGTGCGACGGTTAAGTGTGGTGGTCGTTAACGTCCCTAGATTTTAGAAGCGGTCATAGTGGGCTGCTCATATGGGTCTCCCTCCAGTTGGCTTGTCTTCGTCTTCATCGACGTCTTCTGCCCAACAGCAAGACGTAGCTTTGCTCCCGACTGCAACTCGGACTTCGTCAAATACAAGCCTAAAGCCAAATCCTGTGGGTGCTCAGGACAGAGGGCAAAGCAATATTAATAACGTATGCGATACGCCAGACCGACCGGAGTGGCCCTCTGCGATTTCTAATACGCTTAAAGGTACGTTATTTCAGAACTGCCACAATAATTACAGCGTGCAATAAGCTTTAGGATGTGTATAGAGTTTTACTGAATTCCCGAAGAGTACCAATGAGAGCAAAGGCTTCAAACTCCGAAAAAAAATCACTTGCTAAATTCTCGGCCGAAATTCCGCCAAATATTTTCGCCTGAAAGCATTTCCGTAGGGAGCGGGAGCTTGCTATATGATAATATCCAATATGTGCAGCTGGAGATACGTCGTTCGCGAAATTAATGGTTACTGATTAAAGACAACGCGCCAATTACAGAACTGGGGAAAATATACAGAGAATTGTGACCCTCACTAGCTAACAGAAATGAGTTGAGAGAAATGAGCTGAGCGATCTCTTCAGCTAGCTCTTAGTTTGTATAACGAGTGCAACTTACGGCAGAACTTCGATAGTTTTTACAATCTATCAAATTTTATAGCAAATAGCATATAATATTAACTCTAATTGAAAATTAGTAAAAACAAGTATTTTTTTTTAAGAAATTGACGGCAAGTCCATTATGTGGACCAGTACTTCACAGCTAGGGTATCTGTTTGGTACCGTAGGACTCTCATCCGACTAAACCCTGGACCACCCCGTGGTCCCAGGCGTTGAGTCTGAACCCAGTTTAATACTACTTCGAGCCCAAAGTTTACAGAAATGACCAAAGTACTATTATTTCATTAGTTGCATTCCGGTCCACCCTCCTGGACAGACGCGTAAGTGCGACATATAACCATACCACGGTGGTTATTCCCCATCTCCGCCGGTTCGGGTTGGCTTCATATTTTACTACCGCAGTTCGTTGGAGTTCTATAGAAACTCTGTTAGAGATACACGTTTATAAATTATGCATGGAAAAGGTACGTGCTTGTCAGGTCGTTAGTAAGGACCATACTCGGGAGATTTTAATCACTTGAGGGCCAAGTAGTACGGATTAGTAGGACAAATTTTCATCGAAGGCATGTAAATTTTCGACATGCATATATTCGACTTATCACCAATAACGATACGTGTAAGACATGGCTATGAAATCCAAATCACTGTCTATCAGTCGTCGAAATGTACGTGTTGACGATATTTACATGATTTTTTGTAAACATATAATGGTACCTATATTTGTCAAATGATGAAAAGACAAAAAAGGTAAAGTAACTTAAATGATTTTTCTTAGATCGGTAGGAGTCATGAACTTTTTAAAAATTCCAAAAGGTATGACTCACAGCGTCAGAGGGTACGATCCAGGATGAGAGTGGACAGATCATCGATGTGGGGCAGGTTTGCTGAGCTCCAGTAGTTTTTCTTCCACCCCATGGTATATTTTCTGAGAGTGATGTGTACGTCGCTGGGCTCTTTTGAGCTGGTTTTCGTACCAACACAACCGATTTCAGGCCATAAACTCAAAAAGTCCACGTTAACATACTCTTCTGCAACAAAGGTTTATCTGTTACAGTTGAAGCCGTTATGTGTGGGGAGAACATTTGAACATCAAGCAGACATTTCGAGCTGTTTTGAGGCTTACCTATAATCTACTCCGTTTCTCTTCCATTTAAGTTAAAAATATTAAAAAGTGGGATTCAAAAAGATAGTTCCCTATGTATAATCGGAGCAGATCAGAATCACTAGAAGCGTTATGTCAACTATAGGTGTAACCGTACCGATTTCCCAGAAGCGTCACCATCTGGAAAACTCGTCATGCTCATTAAATGAATATGATAACTATATATGAATAGAATACAGATGTCTAATATGGAAATATCCTAGAAAAAACTATGCGTTTTTCTATTTTTCGAGCACATGATTTGTACAGAGAAGTGTTATGCATTCTACTAGGAGCGACTGAAGATGTACATTTTCCTTCTATAGTTAAAACTAGGCTGATTATAAGCCGTTTAGGTTTGCTTTAAATAAATCAAGTCACAGGCAAAATAAAATTTGACAGAAATCTCGAAGTAATCATATAAAGCAAGACTCATACACATACACCTCATGATGACAACAACGGATGGACTACCTTAACCCTTCTAAGCAATTTGTAGGTACATACATATATAAAAGTCCTCTAGTTCGCGTGGCGCGCATTATAGGTAACAATCAAAATTCTTAAAATTAGATCTAGTAGAATTCATTTGTGATTGTAGAATTCATGATTTGCTTCCAAGAATGCTCGCATTTTTCCGGTAACTGACTCCATTACGTCTAGCGCTCGCTTTGCTCCATTAAGGTGAGTAATTATAGCTTTCTGTATCATCATCCATGGAGACTGCGATTGTCGAGATTCCCTGCAAAGGTCTTGCTAGTTAAATCATAATAGAGTAGGACAATAGAGTTCCGCCTAAAAGAACTGCATTTGGGGTTGATCCAAGGTTTCGCAAAAACTGAGTCAGAGTGACAACAGTTTAACGATAAACATTTGAAAAAGGAATACAACACTTCACCTTATATGAGTGAAGCGGTTGTTCCTCGGGTTTAGAAGCGGCCCTCTTGCAGCAGGCTGTTCAGCCCAGATCAGTTCAACAAGATGGCCTTTTTTCATTGAAGCGATACCGGTAAGTTAAATGCCTCTTTCTTCTTACATTTTGCCACATCCGGACTACTAGAAACTAGAAATGATTACATTAATTTAGCTGCTAAAATAGTGCTTCCTAAACTTGGGATGCTTTATTGGCTAACCCAACAGATTTTAAACCTGAAAATTTAATAGGCGTTATTTTGACTAAAGAAAGTTAAGCTGTTATAAATAAATTACTCAATGATTTATCAGATACGGATTTTCTAAAGGGAAATTCGCCTCATTTTTTTGTAAACATATTACGTCTAATTGTCTCAGAAAGCACGAGCTTGTAAGCCACGAATTCGGGAAATATTTGATATTTATCTTGAAAACTAGTTCCAACAGCAACAACTATAGCAATCTCAATATCGATGACTAATATCTTCGATATAATGGAACTGTTCGCAAGAAACTTTTCGAACAGTCACTCGGAGAAACTAGACTCGTAAATTAATTATTATACAATTAGATGTTACTGGGAAATGAGGTTTTCATCACACTACTCTTATAGTCTTAGATACTTTCTTAGATACAGTAGCTAAATAAATAAGTATAAGGGCCTGCCAAGTCCACGAACAATCGTCGATCAGTTACGAGAACTTAAATTTCGATACAGCAAACTCGTAATCCCTACAAAAAATTGTAATTCAAGTACGATTATAAGCTATCTATGAAATACATGATCTACGTTTAGTGTCAAAATAAATACTAGCTAAAATCAACGTCCTCTGCTAAACAAGAGATTCGAAATTCAGGCAGCAGGTTCTACTTTCGTTTGGTAGTTAGGTGAAAATGAACGATAGTTCAATGCAGCTTTCGTTGAAAGGCAAATCATGCCTGCGTTGTTCCTTTCCCCAGGCAAGGGAAGGGAACGTTCTATCAACTGCCCTCTCGTGTTTATTACTGGCCGCGCGCGATGGTTGTGCTGACGTTAGCCCGCGCCAATATGGCGGCACTCAATGTTTTGATTCGGCCTCCGAATCAAAAGTTGTTCGCGCATCGTGTTGTGTTGAATTTGAGCATTTTATTTGTAGACAGCAATTTTGTGAAGCATGTTCGAATGAATCGGAAAGGATCAAGGTCGTTCGGCTGGATGGGATGTTCCGTCTAGTAACTCGGATTCGTCCGGGCCCATTGTTATTTTTAAATGATGGAAAAAAACGTTTATGCCCGAACGAGCATAAGGCAAACCTGAGCCATTCATCGAACAGTATATCGACCCGGCACATGCTTTTAACCGATGTGTCAATAACGCGTATCAAGCAAGCGCTGGCTAAAGCGAATGTATCATTTCAGAATGGACATACTTGCCTTCGTGTGCCGTGTCCTCGATGTTCACACAAATCCAATCACGCACAGGGATACCTTAATTCAACGAGTGGTACATTTATCTGTTATGAATGCAGATTCGTTGCGCCATGGGAAGCTTTTCAGCGGTACTTACAAACGGGCTGGAATCTCGAAGGGGAGGAACACAACTCGGCGTTCGTTACGGACACCGAACTTCAAGAAATTCAACGAAGAATCGAAGGTGCGGTAGAAATTAAAAAGGCAGAGACGGGCGAGGTATTCAGAGTTTTAAAACGAATGGGTTTGCAACGAATTCAGGTAGCTACGTTAGCTCGTAACGGATATCACCTGTCGTATGACGACGATCAACCAAAGATTATCTTGCCGGTGCGAGGCTTTCAACGAAACCTAGTAGGTCTTAAATATCTCGGTGACGAAGGCAATGTTGTGGAGACGTTTCCACGGGAAGAGATGGCCGGTTATTTTTATACCGAATCGTCAGCTGCGCCCAATCGAGCTATCCTAGTTGTGCAGCCAGCTGATGCAATTTTTGTTACACAAGAAACCCAACTGACGGCAGTTGCCATTGAGTCCACTTCTCGTCTTCCCATTACAAGTTTACCACTTCTCGAACACTTTGATAACCTTACAATTTGGTTTCGTCATTCGTTAAGTGAATGGGAAAATGCTAAAAATTATGCGAGAAAACTGGGCGAAAGCAGGTTACGCTTCATCAGACAAACATCCGAATATGACCGGCCAATCACTACGAGAAATGTCAGCAACGCTTTAAAACTTGATGCGCCTGTTCTTCATAAATCGCTTGTAACATTTTCTGAGTTACGGCTTCAAGTTTATGACCATCTAAAGCAATGGAAGCTAGCTGCCGGCATCAAGTGGACGCGTTTTCCTGGTTTAAACAAGTACCTTAAAGGCCACCGTCGTGGAGAATTGACAGTGTTTACCGGCCAAACAGGCTCTGGGAAGACGACTTTTCTTTGCGAATACTCACTTGATCTCCTTCAGCAAGGCGTTCGAACTCTTTGGGGTAGTTTTGAAATTTCTAACATTCGTTTGGTAAAAACGTTACTCACTCAGTTCGCATTAATACCTCTAGAAAACAATATGGAGAAATTCGACGAGTTCTCAGATAGCTTCGCTAAATTGCCCTTGTATATGATGAGGTTTCATGGGCAAGAAAATATTAAGAATGTACTTGACACAATGTCTCATTCTGTCTATGTAAACGATATTCAACATGTTGTGTTGGATAATCTACAGTTTATGATGGGGGTTTCTGAAGATCGGTTCCTACGGCAAGACATGATTGTGTCATTAATGAGAAAATTTGCTACCGAGCACAACGTGCATGTCACCCTCGTCGTCCACCCACGCAAGGTAATACAAAAACCAATTAACTATGGTCAGTCAACAAAACAAATTTAATAAACTGATCTAAACAGCATTATTGATGATTAATTTCGAAATCATGTAGAACTTGACATGCAACTTTAGCCTAAGAAAAATCATTTTTATTATTATATATTTATCGTTAGAATATAACTTGAGAATAATATTAGTAAGATTGGCGGTAATAATAAAATTAGCTTTATCTCTTTATAATTAGCTTATTTTATTTTTAATTAGCGGATGTATGAGAGGGATTAAGATGGGTAAGTTTTTGCAAAAATTAAAAGTAATAGAGGTTTTTTATTTAGAGTTTTTCGTAATTTTATTTAAATTTAAATAATTTAGTAGGAATTATTTTAATATTTAATTAAAATTCTTTACGAAAAGTTTTATACTTATAAATATTTGAATTAAGTTCTAGAGTGTGTACGTATGGCCCGTCACTTTCAGTAAAATGAAAAAAAGTCGTAACAAAGTAGAAATACTGGAAAGTGTTTTTAATAAAATGCCTTAAAATAAATAGATCATATTGATAAAATAAAATATATAATTTAATCATTTTTATTACTTTAAAATAAGCTAAGTTTAAGCTACTGAGTTCATGCCCCCCAAAACTGATAAATCCTTTAAAAATTTATATCTTGGGTAAAATTATTAAGAGTCACTTCTTTAGTATTGTCTCCTTTTCTTACTTTTCATCTGAAACTTGATCCTCATTATGAGTAACGTTAGAGTTTTATTTACTTTTTTTATATTAAAATAGTTAGTTGTTAATAAAATAATAAAATATTTTATTATTCAATTATTTGACTTCAATGACTATGTTGAATCTAAATAGAATTTATTGATTATTTTATTTTTAATTGATATTATAATTATATTAGGTAAAATATTTATTTTGAAAAATATAGAAGTCAATAGTATAATACAAATGAAGCATAGAACTATTTATAATAACATAAGTTTATTTACTGTATGTATAAATTTAGGAGGTTACATATAGGCAGCACGTTCTCTATCTTGTGAACACGTTGAATATACACTGTACGCAACATTGCACATCACTGGTCCCCCCACATCCCGTTATAATAAACTACGAAGACAGAATGTGCATATTACTAAAGTTACTAGAATCCCTAAAATATTTAGCATCTACTTCAAGTGTGTCTGCAAATGAAGATTCGTCACGCGATCTTAAAAGTCCATCGAACGCTCAGAAATATTTGTGCCATTGCGTTCTTAAAAGTTTGAGTGGGTACCGCTCTCGTAATCACGTTGTTTAGGAGCTAGATCGTAAAGCCTTATTAATATTCAAGTTTTTGCATGCTACGCATATCTGAAGACCAACATTAATCCTGTGTTCGAGCAAACTTGTTTTTGCTATCAAACGCTTATACTTTCCAAATATTTATGCCTATTTCATGCAGTTAAGATATACCATACCGACAAAATTCGCAGTTGCGAATTAGAGTTCGCGGCATCCTGTTGTTATGGCGATGAGGTGTCACGATGACACCTTCATATCGAATTATTCATGGAAAGGGATTCGTCTTGTTCAAGATTACTGTACTTACTCTTATTGTATTGTTGTGCTCAGCGAGCCTAAGCGTTTTTTTCTTCTACTAAAGTAGTTGATCTAACGAGAATCGAAAACCAAAGAAAATGAAAGCTAGTGTACTTGTATCACAGACCTTAAACTTTAGCTTATTAACCCGTCAGTACTAATATATGAGACAACTTGAGGACAGGCACGGAATTCGAATGGCTCTAACGGTTAGAGTGGTTTAAAATGTCCCCAGATGCAAATATGTTCCATTCGATAATTTCAAACAATAAGCCGTTTTATGCGGTTACATTTCTGATTAACATGGTAGAGCAAAATCATGAAAGAAACAAAACCAGCTGGTCGTATGCTTTATACTCGTGAATTATGTGTGCAAGTTATGTGGATTAGACATTTTGCTTACATAACAATGACGACAACGTACTGTTTGAAGATATGCTATGTTTAGGTAGATCAAATAGCCAATGCATTTAAATTTTCCTAATTTAAGGCCATAAATATCATGGCCGCATTGAGATTCAATAGAACGCTTAAACTGTGCATCACAAAATCTCGGATTGTCGAATTGTTTAGAGGAAAAATCCGTTCTAACATCTTCCTTTGTATTCTCTTTGATTTCAACCAGTAATAAAAAAAAATAAATATATTTGACGTTAAGTTTGATGTTACATAATAGCATATTTTATTTTTGTTTGACCACTACTGAATAGGAAAAAGAAGACGAGATGTTAGGAACAGCAAGTATCTTCGGTTCGGCGAAAGTTTCCCAGGAGGCAGACAATGTTATGATACTACAAAAATCGCCGCGTAATACTAAGTACATTCAGGTGACAAAAAATCGCTTCGACGGAGATGTGGGCACTTTCCCGCTCTATTTCGACAAACCGACGCTCAGTTTTTATAAGAAACTTCAATTACATCAGCATCAACAGGAACAACACTCAGGCGAGAACGGGGCTAAGGGGAATTAAAGTTCAACTGAGAAGATGAGAAATGGTTTTTGGTAGGGGCGCGTATAAGAAAAACAATCATTTAAAACCGATAGCTTGTAGAAACTTACAAGAAAATCTGGGACGAGATGTCACACTCATCCACACAGACACACAGACACACACACACACGCATCTGGTTTGTATATTCTGAACCTTTTACCTCTCTACCTATGTATAAAGCATAGTATTAATGAAAATCTTCACTAGCTTAGTTTTCAATAACGCTACTCTAGAATTAACGAGACGGGAGAGAGGAATACATGCACCTTCCCAGTGCATTACCGCTATTCTTTTGGTCAACTAAAGGGCTATGGTGTATATTTTTCTCGATACAATTATCTGAAAGTTGATCTTGTACACACCATGTGAAAGGGCGGTGCCTAAAATCAGATTTGGATACCTTTAGCCAATATCAAAATTTAATTTGTTATATAATAAATAGTGAATAAAGCCATATACTAGTCTCTATCGGTCTCACACGTTCATGAGGCACGAGTGGCTTTTTATAAAAAATAAAGAATGGCCATGTATTAACAGTGTCCAAAATAACTGGCCTAGAAGTTGTCAGCTTGTTAAACTAAGCTGAGTTGTTTTTGTTCCGTCTTACTAACGAAAATAAAGTAGAACAGTGATTTATACCGAACGAACTAAGAGTGTCAGTTTCGCTGCTACATTGACAAATATTCTTTTAAATAGTCAATTTTCACCGAATCGCAAATCTTACTTCGAAAGCATTGTTCCTGGTGATTTTTTTAATAGTCTGCTTCTTTCTTGACGGAACTGCCTACTCAATGAAACCGTTGTATAGTTTTGTACCTACATATTTTTTATCGTGACGTTCTTTTGACGGTACCTATATTGTCAAAAGATCTCTGATCGGCATCAGTCGATCAACGTGAACCATACCGATTCGCGTAATGCCATTTTTTCGGTAAAAATCAACCCAAATAATATATCGGGGTGAAAAAGCCAAGTTTGTATCTTAGCTTGACTTGAAGGCTGCTACATCAGAAATGACGCAAACGTATGTCTCGTGTTGCGTGTTTAGAGAGCGCGACAAAGCAGAGTGCTAATTTTCCTCAGGTCATTTCGCAGCGACATATTGAATTTTCACCACAGAATGGCTTCAATAAAATGACACAAACTATATAGGCTTAGATTGTGGTGAAGCTTTTCAAATAGTTTCTTCCCGGGAAAACTGGTGGCTTCGCATGTAGAGACCGACGGTTGGCGTGGCTGTTTTGTCGCTATGGAAAAGCGGTTATCAGTTTCGATTTATAGATACGGTGTGAGAGCCATAATGACTAACTTGAGTGACACTGTTAACAGATAGGAATATTTATTTACGAATAAAATAGCAGAATAATCCAGCGCGACAAATAACAGCAGCAGCAGTAGCAGCAGCAACAGCAACAACAACAACAACAACAACGTGTGCGTGTATTATTTTAGGTAAAGCAGAGAGGACGATGTAGACGTAGTATATCGCAATGGTGCCTTCCTTTTAGGATAAACAGAAGTTACAATTTAAAATGTGAAATGAACAAATGCGGAGTGCAATGTTTGTTGTCTAAGAAAAAAAGGAAGTAAAAATAGAAAATAATATTTAGGAAACGTATGCCGTGTTTTTAATAATGTTTTGATAGATAGATGCATAGAATATGACTAAAAATATACGTGACTGAAGGATTACAGCCTCAGTAATTATTTATTAAGAACTAGTATTTAAAATGGCAGAAAAATCTGCGTAAAGTGTGTAACCTTTCTTCTTACAGCTAATATTAGATTACTATTTTGGCCAATATATTTTACAATAACAATTTACAAGATTTAACAGAGATTTACTTTGGTGCTGTTACGCATTATTACTTCATTACGAGTCTCAAATGTTCCAGTATTGTCTATTTTCAAGCGTGGATCTCATTTTCAAAGTATCTCCACGAAAAAGTCCATTGGCGTAAGATTTGGGCAATCGGCTGAGTATTCTGTGAGATCTCTTCCTGGAACCTATCTGTTTAAAAATTCTTATGAAGATATAGTCTTAAATAACGATAATGGCGTGTGGGTGCTTCGACCTGTTTTCCGTTTCCACCAAAGTTCTTGCATGGTAACACAGATTCATGCAGTAAACTCAAGCAATTGACACCAATCACTGCACTAGTGAAAGAGAATGATCTACTTAATCTGCTTGAAATATCGAACCACATTAGCGCCTGGTGAATTTACATGGCTTTTTTTTGCCAAATATATATATTTACAGTTGTCCAGTAAGTGCAATGTGCCGATTAATTGTATCATACACTCTGATTGTAGCTTCGTCGCGCCAAACAATCCTACCCACAAATTGTTCCACATTTCTTCAAGTACCATTCGCAAAATTCCTTTCGGTCCGGACCATATTCATTGATAGGATGTACCATTGTGTAATATAAGTTTACAGCTGTTATGCCTTAAAATGCGATAGGTATTTCATTTACTAGTGGCAAGCTCACGACTCTCGGACGTGTCGTTTCAACTATCCAGTGTTCTTCCTTAGCTGATGAAACCCTTTGATGTTTCTAGTTTTTCTGCACGTCGTCCATGAACACCCCCAAACGGTTCCATCCGTTCCAAAGTTGTCGTTTATCCGATCGATTGCATATCGCGTAGGTGGATCTGCCTGGAACTCTCGCAGTATTGTCTTTGCGCTTCTACTGCGTTTTCATATCTCCAAAAATGTTCATTTCCTTACTCAAAAGCTATTTTCAGTTCACACATGATTTACAATTAATTTCACCCTGAAAAGAAAGAGTAACCAGAATGTTATACCGCGTTGAGCAGCGTATACATTTCTGGATACCATGTGTACGCGTACATATACATATATTCAATTTGTTTATAATAAGGCGAGTCACATTTGTAACGAAGCAGTAAGTAACCTAACCTAACCTTTTGCTGAAGCTGATAAGTTACTGTCGATCGGTTGTAGCACGTAGGTATTCCAGTCAATATTTGTGAGCAAATAATATACGAATCAGACATAAAGCTGAATGTTGAACATTTTAATATTTTTTTTGACTCATTTGAACGAGCAAATATATACGTATATACCTTAGTGAACTCAGCATCAGAGGAGATTCGTATTAAATTTGCCTACGTTTCCACAAATTAGCAATATCAAGTAACCGGTTGCCTTCTATTGACAATACGACTGTACCGCCTGCGGGCGCACAAAACCCAGTGGGTCTAGGCTTCCATGAATACCCTATACGGTCGAGTGCAGAATAACAAAATACGACACACATTAAGCGGATTTATTAATGGGTTGTTGGCACACAGAGACGCATGCATATTCGATCACGGTAACATTCACTGTGAACAATAGGCGTAAGAAGTTTGGCTATCGAAATTACAGAAAAAAAAAGCTTCGCGGCTGCGACTACAGTCGTTTGACCTTTTAGCTGCGGGATATAGAATCGTTGTAACTTCACTCGAGAGCGCAATTATTTTATTAAGAATTAAGTCGAATCATGCCTAGGTAAACTTTTTTCATGGCGAAACGCATGGGTTATTCCAGTATTTAATGCTTCAACTTGAGCTTGAACCTCAGCCTGGTAGAACCGTCGCGCAGACGTATATGGTCACTAAATGCTTTAATGCTTGTAGAATGCATGAAGAAATTCCTATATTTCAACCTTGTCTGGAGAAACCGGACTCCCAGCAGTGCTCAACGAAACCATTTAGTTATACTTTCGATAGTACCAGATATTTTAAGTTTGGTCTACCAAAGCGTATCTAATAGCGAAGTAAATGGAACTATAGTCGTAATCAGTCAAATTGTGTACCCTTCGACCGCAAGCTCAACCACTGTCAAATGCATGTATTTTTTTAAAGGGTTCGTCAACCAAAGAGACAGTACACCCGCCCAAGTTCTGTTCTATGAGACCTGCGTTGCACACGTGTACACTATTAGAGACCGTATTAGCTAACTGGTAAACACGCAAATCCAACACTTGAGCCATGTTTTTCCTGGATGCGCTTGAAATAGGATCGTTTTTCGTGGACAACCACCGTTCCGCTAACAGCCTGTAGTTTATGCATTCACCACTCACACTGAATTTTTTGCTGCACACGTTAACTTATCAAGGATAGTTACTTTTTGATACAAGACTTTGCAATTTGTAACAATCAGCTATTGGCTTTTGTCCAAGTAAACGTGCGTATAGCAACTAGAGCATTCTAATATCAAAATATTTTCCCGCACACCCTACATTAGAAGATACTTAACACACAGTAATCTTGTTTTCCCAGCTGTTTCCTTTTCAATTGACCATTGTTTCCGTTAGCACGTATTTTTCCTAACGAAGGAATGAACTTTTATGTCAGCTTCCTGTTCATATATTTACGCTTATTACTACAAGATATTTCTATTGGTACTTCTAGAAAAATGAGACGTGATAGTTTTGTATTCAAAACGAAGATCCTTGTACGTTGGTATTCGTAGTACACTAGAAGTTCGTCTAAGACCTACGTCAGATACATTATCACATAGACTAATCCAATGTTGAAACCTTCACTGAAAATACGTCTGCCCGAATAGTGCTAACTTTTACTTAACTGTTACTGCGGCCTTTCTTTTATGCGTGAATTGTCAACTCACTCATTAATTAATCAACCACTGACACTTTTCCATCGAAGTATGTATGTACCATTCTCTACCGAATATTGCCTTTTTTACTAAAGAAGCTCTTTACAATATGGACACAAGCAAAAAATATCGAGCAGATGGCCAATGACTGAATTGTCGAGTGCCACATTACCCGCGAATTAAGATCTCGTGCAGTTCTTCGGGCTTGATTTTCCCGTAAACGAGCTCAGGTTTGGTACTCGGTAACTGTATTGAGGTTCGTTCGAACTTCGCCGATCGCATACTCCATCTTGGTTACTGCTGCAGTCGCTGTTTGATTACCTGCCGCCTCATTGTTTAATAGCGGATCTTTGCCAAGCATAGAATGCATATATACGAGCTTGTGGCTGAACGTTGAAAATTCATTTGAGAAACATGCACTGTATACTCCAGTGCTTGGCGCCTTGAATACTATGGAGTTAAACTGTTTCTCTTTATCTTTGTAGAGCTCCAGATGGGTCGGGCCAGTGATTACAAGGTCGACGTCGCGCTTTCCACCGTAGAGCACCTGGAACTGAAACGTAATTTTTGTTCTTTCTAAAACCTCCTCGTAGAAACACTGCACCGAGCTGTCTGGTAGCTCGAACGCTAGCTCGACCGCAACACCGCTCCGAAGGAGATTGATACTAAGGACAAGCAGAAATGCACCCCACATTCTGAATGTAACTTACCGCGCTTAGTGCGTGGTTTATAAATTCGTATCGACTTGTATTTTTGAAACTAATGGCAATTACTACCAAAATCAGTCGACATCAGTTCGTATTGTTAACGGTGGACGCACAAACAAGCTGTTCCTTTGTACCTGCTAAGAACTTTAACGAACAGGTCCATAGGATCCTTCTTTATCAAACATTCCAATTGAACATTCGTGCCTAGGCAGTTTTTTCTCTATGATCGAGTGAGCAGTACAGAATTGGTCATGTAGATATATCATTTTGGCTACGCTTCCAATTTCGAATGTGAGATATCGCGCTGATGGAAGAATTGTCTAACCGATGCGTGAATTCTACAACTTAGTGAGGGTGCGTGTGAACAAAGAAACTTTTTCTTATTGTTATTCTATTCAGTCATACCTGCCGTCTAGTAGATGTCGAAGCAGCGACTTTTGGCTATTTAGGCGTTGCTGAGTTGATTAGTAAAGTTTTAGAATCGACTACTAAGGGAAAATATTATAAAGCTGTTTTGAGAAACAACAACGTAGGTCATGATTTTAGGTCATATATTAGAAGGTGTCTTATAAACAGTACAAGGATGCGCTACATCGGCTTTAGGATATTCGACGTATTATATAAGTGTATTGCCTGGTTTAATCGAATAGTTTCTAAGTTATTAAATATTTTCCGTGTGTTTTTAAGAGGTGTTCATTTTAAATTTAAGAGCGGGGCAACATTTTAACAAAACTATCGGAACTACTTTAAACTTTTTCAAAGAGTTCATCCATTACGATTACGGGGGAAAAAAAGCGCCAAATACTCCGTTCAACTGATACGACTGTGATAGAAAAAAAAACTCGCAACGCTCAACTTTTCCTTGAAAAATAGTAACTAAAAAAATTGTTGCATGGACCGCCACAATTCACTAGCGTCTGTCTGGTGAGTATGGATAACTTTTTCGCAGTTTTCCTTTATGATAAATATCAAAATCGAGACCAAGCATAGGCTCGTACAAGAATCCAAATAACCAGAAGTTTTTACATTTTTGGCTGCTTCGATCAGGTCTAAAATTCTACAGGTTGAAAAAGACTGTGCCTGTTAGTTGAATAAGCAAACATGTGTTTTTCGTGGAAACGCAGCTGGGGCACTTTTTTGGGTGGCATAATCTAATTTTTTTAATTGTATACTCTTTAATTCGTCCTCACTAAAATACTGGATTTTTTTTGCTAATGCGTTTATTGATAAATGCATTTGCATTTGACTATGTAGACAGCCAGAATTGTGTGACTGGGGGAGATTTCAGCGGACTAGCTATGACAAGATATGTGCGGGTAGAGTTGCGGTAAACTGTAATCACGTAAATTTTAACCATGTTTAGTTCTTCGAGACCTAGAAAAATAAATTCACTAAATAGAACGAACGAAGCCTTGCGAAAATAGTGAATTATTTCACAATGTTTTTTTATCGCTGTCTCTATGTCTCTGCTTTGATTTATGATTTGGTAACCACATTTGTTTGAAAACACTAACTATTGAATTAGTCACAGAAGCGCGCGATGTAATTCCAGCCACGAGTACAGCACATCTTCTAACATAAAAATTCTGAGAATTTGGCCAAATCTGGTCGAGTTTGGTGAGAGACACGTTAAACGCGCAAAGAAATTACAGGAAAAATGAACATTTAAATACCTGTTCAGGCTCGAGTTGAGCATGCAGAATCGGCTGCTGGACCCCTACCATCAAAAACACGCGTTTCGAATTTGCTCAATTTAAGGCACTCTTCAACCATTCGTCCTTAGTTTGCCTTTTAAGCAGGACCACGATCTATATGAACTGATGGCAAAGCTACAGGCAGCGAGAGAAGGCGTTTAATCTTCAACACTTCGCTATTTAACAGTTGCTGTACATACACTGCCAGTTTTATGAAGAATTTGAAATATCGCGATGATTGTAAGATAACTGTAACGCTTACAATTGCTTATCATAAATTTCCATAAGCAAAATATGATTTTTGTGCTGGCATTCTGAAATCGTATTTGAGACCAAACTGTACATGTAGCGTACAAAATCTCTATAGTTGACACAAGTCGGAAGATAGAGATCCGCCCACTAATATACTAAGTCTCGTTTAAGGATGGGAAATATGAGGCTGGGGCATTGGTTAATTGGACTCTTAAATAGCGGTAAAAAAGTTTTGTATAAAAAAAAATAAATTTTTGTTCTGTTCGAAAGAACGAGGCAAACGTCTTTCTTTCTGGTATGTCAAACCTTTAGGACTGCTTCAATCGATTGCTGTCTACTGGCTGTTATATTTATTGTTTGCCTAAATCTCAGAACATATAACGGGGGCAAGAATTATATACTCTGGTAAAAAAAAATATTGTTATTTTCGTAACGAGAAGAAAATTTACCAATTAGGTTACAATGGGCAAGCACTATCCAAGTCTTGTGCGTAAACACTGCTATCTTTTGAGCTATCGGGAGATTCACCGACGGATCGTTCTGTTTGTAATACGCGCCTTGAACTTAAGTATTATTCAGCGTCCTAATACAGATAGCAAGAACTTGAGGTAACCTTTACCTGAGCACATGAAAAGCTGACTCGCTCTTCTTGTTAAGACAACGACGGATGGATGGGACGTGAAGAAGGATGTCAAAAAAAGGTGCTATTAAATGCGTCCTTTAGTAACTAATAGATCTTAGGAAATGAATCGACTCTTAGCTGTAGCATCGTATTATCACTAACCAGTTACGACTTAGATTAAATAGGATTACATCATTCCTATCTTGAAATTTCCATTTTTAAATAAAGCACTTGTATCCTGATATACCAAAACCACAAAGTCTGCAGGATAACAGGTGTCCTTTCAGCACAATTACAGATTGCGCAGAAATTGAAACATAGGATATAATACAACAGTAGCATGTTAAAAAGTTGATAAGAAAACACAAAGCTTCAGAGAAGAAGTACTAACAACAGATATTTGGCAGCAACTGAGTGAGGCTATCAGTGCGTCACGTAACAGCTATAATGTATACGTATTTTCCAAGTGTAAATAACAGTCGCACTTGGTGTAATGCCAGGCTTCCGTAAATGAAGTTTCGTAGATAGATTGCATCGGCCTACAGATAAAATTCTGTTTAAAATTTGTCTTCAGCAGAGTGCATAGAGCCATTATATGAGCACTGTTTAATTAGTTTTCAATTATAACAATCCACAAAAATTATCACAGCATATAAATTGACTTGGCGCAGAATATAGCTATTAGCAAAGGCGCTGGCTCAAAATTTATGTTATTAGCTTCCATTAAGCCATCCAGCGCCTTATCGTATAAAGATATAAATATGATAAGGATTTTTTTTAGCTATATTTTTTATTTATAATAATGATAAAAAATCATAATTAACAAGTTTTGGCAAAATCATTACAGGCCCATCAGTGATATTGGCATCGCGGAGCACACTGGCTCGCCACTGGCAGCCTCATCTGCGCTCTAGATCCTTCAATGGGTAAGCAATAGGTTAGCAAGAATCGATACTAAGTTGCAAGTACATCGATACTCGCATGGAATATATAATATTGATGACATTTTGATGGTGTAGGGGGACTCGACGTGCTTTCTATAACAGTGTTATTTAAGTCCACCAATATGCCTAATGTTTTGCAGGTCAGCCGCAAATGACGTTATTAAGCCTTTTGAACAACTGATTATTTTTTTCTGCTTATTAAAACAACACCGTCACATAAATATGACCTTTAACAGCAGAGACAGAGGAAACGGGCCAATATGCATTTGCAATTAGGGAAAATTTAAGTTTACAGTAAGGTAAAAACAAACTTACGATCGAAGTAGAGATGAACTAAATAATTCGAGTTTTACGTCCCGCATCGCCGTTTGCTTCATACAGCTGGCGCCGAACGGAAATCCGCGTGTGTCTTACACTCAGTTCGCGTCTTCTTAATATTCTCTAATTTCGGTTATCCTTTATTTTTAGCAGTCCTAAGAAGAAGAAGCATAGCTTTATTATTCATATCTAAAGTGACAAATAGTTTATAATGAACTTTCCTAAAATCTGCGGGTCATACAACCTGGCAGGCTTTTCCCTAGTAGATCCTGAATGTTGAAAACGAGTCCTGCTGCTGCTTTTGATGGAGTATTTTTTAATTTGCTTCCTTAAAATGGAGCTGTTCTTGACCACATAAGTGCCAACTCCGTATCGTATTCGTCATTCCAAACCTCAGATTTCGTTCCGCACTAACAAAGGATGTAGCGTTTCTCAAAGTTGCTTGCCGTCCAGAAAAGGGCCAGTTGAAAAAATAGAATTAACACGGCTTTGATGCAAATGCCAGTTTTCTGCAGGATGTACTAGTTTGCTCCTTCGCGCCCTCTTTGGCGCCAAATATAATTATGTATTTGGAAAACAATCCAGTGCTCGTTTTCTTAATCCTTATATCATAGCCTTAGGTTAGAGCTAACCGCCAATAAGCATTCTACCAATCGGCTGGCTTGCTGTACGTTCAGGATCGAACCTGGACCACAATCTTTAATTTCTAAGACTAGCAGGCAAATGCGTTATCCAAAAAGCACTATTCAAAAGACTATTTTCCTGTCAGTGACCCATTGTTGAATGAATGCATCGATTAATCAACAGCACCATAGCTAATGGACTAGAGCGTCTTATTTAAAAAATGGCCCGGTGAATAACGTAATCGAAATGCTCGTCCTCCGCAGCTGGGTAATGAATTGTGCAGAACTACTTAAATAAACAGCGTAGCAAAATTGTCTGCTACACAAGCGTAACAGTAACAGCTGCTTCTGCGTTACTGCAAAACCGCGAAAACTTAAACGTCAAGTATTTCTTACGATACGGGACGAGTTTAGTTGCTGTATAGCCATCCATTCGGCATTACCTGCACTTTACAGCATTGAAGAGGCTGGTCACAAGCCATATTACATGCCCTATTCTGATTCAGCTGCTGCGGGACGGAACATAGCATTAAAATATTCGTGTCTAACTGCTATTTGATGAAATTGTAACACGCGTCCATGCCGTGTACGAGATTGGAACTCTGAAAGGCTCATTACTGTACATTATTCAATATGGTTTGGTATATACATATATGTGTATGCGTACGTAGATGGGGACAACCAGCTGAGGGAAGCATGAAGCCTGGACTAGTCGCACCCAGGATTTGGTTCCCTGGGTCTGACGATTTGTCCATTGACCTAGGCTTATGGCCTAGCCTCCATATGAGCCCATTTATTAACCTCGTTGGCTATTTGCCAGCAAGGAAATTACAGACACACCGTTTATGCACTGTCT